CATTTCACCTAATAAATACAGACACAGAATGATGTGAATCTTCACAAATTTCAGGATATAACTTTGGCCATTTGATCAAGAACCCATCTGAATTTGAACCCAAGTAAGAGGATTTTTTTTTGCCCTTGTAATAACTATGTTAAAAATGTAAAAAAAACCCCACAAATTCAAATTCATAGTGGTGCTCTTCTGCCTTTTTAAAATACAGGGCTGTAAATTCATCTAATTTGAGGCCTAATGTGTGACAAGATTCACACACAGTGATAATATCTTCTATTAAAGCAACGGATATTGTTAGAAGGAACTTCAGCACTCTTCATTTTCTTCAAGACTCTCACCATTCTATGGAACATCTTTGGCATATACACAAACCCAGGGTCTTTCAACCCCCAGTGGGTCTTACAGGCACAAATCCATTATCACAATATCCCAAACACAGGGAAAAAATTGTCAGGGGTAGCAGGGAAGGAGGTTTTTTATTTGTCTTTCTGTTATTGACTTCAAATTGAATCTGTCAGACAATATCCAGATTATCTGCTCAGCATGAAAACAAAGAATGATTTTTTTCCTTTTTTTTTTTTTTGATGAAAGCTGAGGTGTGTACTAATGTCTTGAAGGCTGAGAGTGTTTCAGATATCTATTACCATAAATTAGCTCTAAAATATTGGTAGCTGGCAGCCCTGCCATTCTCTGATCTGCCTTCCCCAGTCTGCAGAACAAACACAGATGTGGACATTTTGTGCTCCCCCCTGGCCTGTGTGGGTTTGTGCCAGTGGATGTCTTGATGTGATATCTCAAGAGGAGGCTTCACTTGTTTGTTTGCACATTGATCCGTGCCTGAGTGAGAAATAACTCCAACAACCACCTTCTTATCAAGTGAAAACATTGAAGTCTGACTTTCTGATACAAATATTCCAAGTGGGAGCTTTGGCAGTTGGAGTCCAATCCCTGGTCTCCACCCTTTTGTTCCTTTTCAGCTCCTCCACTTTTTCCTTCCTTTCAGCACTTCTGAGTTGACATCCAGCCTACTTTGGTAGGGGGCATGGTGGGCAGTGAGGAAGATGTGTCCAGTCCTGAGCTTGAGCCCTTCAGTGGAAGGCATCCACTTTTTCCTTGGGGATTTCAGCCACACACTCTCCCACTGTCCCAGGCTGCTCCAAGCCCTGTCCAACCTGGTCTGGGACACTCCCAGGGATCCAGGGGCAGCCACAGCTGCTCTGGGCACCCTGTGCCAGGGCCTCACACCCTCACAGGGAAGGGTTTACAATTTAAATGTGAGTCTCAGATTCAGTCAAAGAAAGAAATGGGTGTTTCTAGCCAGGCAGAAGCCTGGGAAAGAGTTGGAAAAGAATGTAAATAAGTCTTTATCTCTCTTGTTCTTCACATTGTTTATAGTTAAGTTCTATCACTGTGCGTCAAGAACTTTGCACCAATGGTGTGGGTTGTTTTCACTTCAGGACCAATGGAGTTGGTCCTCACAAAGCTCTGTATAAAAGAGCGGGGTATTTTGAATAAACCAGATTTTTACTCTCAGCAGCCTTCTGAGCAGAGTCTCCTCATTCCCGACCTGCCTTGACAGCGACATTTAAATCCAGACTGATAAACATGACAGCACTTTACATCCACATTATACTCACTTTTTCCTGGGGTAAAGGCCTTCTGAGAGGAGAGGGCAGGCATTGTGCCTAACGGTGCTGAGTGTTTGTGTGCCAGCAGCCAGCCTGGATAATCCTCCACGCCGCTGGGATCCGTGCATTGAAGGTACATTGCCATCCTCTCCTCTGCGTGGGCACTCTGGGCTCCCCAGTCCCTGCCACCCATCAGGATCTATTATATCTGTGCTCACTAATTTCACAGCCTGTAAATTACAGGCATACCCTGCGTATCTTCATCTCATTAGAGAAGGTTAATTTAAGCAGACAATCAACAAAAATACAGAAAACTGTTTTGGAAAGAGGAGTTTGCTGTGTCTCTGACAGACAATGAATTCACAACCCCAACATCTGCCACCACTAGCGAGAAAGTGCTGGAGGAAAAAAAACCTAAAGGAACTCATTGCTGTTTCCTCTGATGAATGGTGATTTTCCAATTAGCATTTTAATTACTCAAGCCATACTTTCAGCTGGTTTGATGATCACAAGAATTCCATAAGCAACAAGTCATCTTGGTTTGTCAACATGTGCTGGGGTAATGCAGAATGCACTTACAGGGGTTGGCCTGTGAGACTGTTTCCCTTCTGGAAAAATCCTACAGCATTACTTGTTCTCAAGTATTTCTTTATAGTTTTACATAGTTTTTATATGATCTTACACTTTTATATAGTTTTACACTTTTGTATGGCCCAAGAAAAAACTATAAGACTGTTGTACCTGAGGTCTTTGGTATAAAATGTATAGATTTATTTCCTGGCAGATCCTACAGCAAATCCATCAATAGGACCCTAAACATCTCAACCTGTATCACTTGCCTGAGCAAATCCTTTAGCAAATCCGTCCTGTATAATTTCAGACACCTTTGTGTGTCCTTCACCTGAGCTAATCCTACAGCAAACTTGTCCCTGATGGGACTGATGGATGGCCTCCTCATTGCAGAAGCTCTGGTGCTGATAACTCTGCCACCTTTCTGTTTGTAGAACCAAAAAACCAAAAAGGAGCAGGGCATTTTTTTTTAAGTTCCTGTGCAGTGCTAGGAAGTTCTGTGTCCTCTGGTGAAGGAGAACGAGCAGGGATGTGGTTATCTTTGCAGCTGAGTACAACTTTGACTGTTCCAAACTTTGCACAGCAACACCAGTGGCATGGGACACAGCCCTGCCACAAGCTGGCTCTTCCAGAAGGATGTCATTGCTAACAGAGATGCTGACAGGCTGCTCCTATAATTCCAGGCCCTGGCTTGGACACCTCGTGCTTTGCCTTGAGGGGGAAAGATGTGCTCAGCTTTGAACCCTCAGCTTGGTGCTGAAGAGCCACAAACCTGGCAATGAACTGGCATCAGCAAAGATCAGTCAAATCCTGCAGGTACTCAGAAAGGTCTTAGTCTCAGCTTTAAGACTTAAAATGGTTGATCTGGGGATTTGGATTATTCCAGTCCCTTGATCTGAACAGATCTGGAATTGATCAAGATGAGGATGGGCCCTTTGGGCCCTTGTAGACCATCGTTCTTAATTTTAATTGTCTGCTCACTTCAGTCATTTTTTTCTTCCATTTTGGTTTGCTGATGTTGTTTTTTTTTTTTCCACGAAGACTTCCTTTTCCCTCCATTTTTATGTGATTTCTCATTCTCTCTGGATGCCCATCATATAGCAGCCTCTATGGTGTAAAGCTACCTGCACATCACAGGTGTATATCCATCATCTGAAAATACCACCTTCTCTCCTTAGTAGTAATCAGGACTAAATCTGTTTTCTTGAGAAAAAAATTACACATGTGGGGCAATCATTTATTCAGAGCAAAGAAAACCAAAACAACCAAGCCAGCAGTGCCCGTTTCATTAAGTGGACAAATGAGAGGTTTTTAAGTTCTTGGCAGTCTGATGGATAAAGGTACCTTGTCAGAAGGTCCCTCTAGATTGAGTTGCAAACAAAAGAGAGGAAAAGCTTGGGAGGAAAAGCAGATTTTTGATGACAGAATGAGCAGATCTGACTCACAGCTCTGGTTTCTGTGGTGTAGCTATCCATGGTGCTGCCAAGTGTGTGCCCAGACACCAATCTTGGATGGACATGGGGCCTCTTTCCTTTTCTTTTTCCAAGTGGTCTTGTCAAGGCAATCCTTCACTGCAGCTTTTCTTCTGACTTCCCACATCCTACTCCTGCATCCCATCCTTTCATCCTCAGTGAGGCTGACCAGACTAATTCCCTTCTGCAGTATATTATTTATGCATTTATGTTATTTTCCCCTGAAAGGTCCAAAGGTGGACATGGCTCTGTCACTTGGAGAAGCTCCTCAAGCACCAGCTGAGCCATGTAAATCCCACAGAGAAACACATCCTGCCCAGTGAAATGAGAGAAAAAATTACAGAAATTATCTCTGTAAAAGCCTCCCCTTTCCGCTTTCTGCCCCTGAAGCCTCACATCCTCTATATCCTGTTTTTCCCTTTCCTTCATGCAATTCCAGCCCTTCCTCATCCCTCTCCAACTCACAACAGTCTGGTAGAATTTCACCAATGAAGGCAAGTGGAACACTTCCCTTCCACTCCCTGAACGAGGCCAGGGCACAGAGGAGTTTATTATATCATAAATTAGAACATGAAAATCTAATACATTTTATACATTTGTCAGAGAGGGAGAGAGAGAGGAGGAAAAACTTTTGCTGCCAGGTTCCTCACAGCAAATCTGTCACGCTGGAGAGAGGCTGCTGGAAGGGAAGTACTTACAGATAGACAGACAGAGTCCTGGTGCAGAACAGCAAAGCTCCTGCTGGATGCTCCAGGGCTGTGGCACGAACCAGGATGAAGTTCTCAAACCAAACCACACACAGCCCACCACAAGCACCTGGGCTCTTCTTGTGTGTGTATAAAATGATGCCCCCATGGGGAAGCTGTCTGTGGCTGCTGGGGGCTTTGGGTGGCTGAGGAATCAGGGGGTGCTGCTGGTGTTTGTGTTGTGGGTCTGAATTTACCTGGTGCTACTTTACAGAAAGTGTATGTAGAGATGGGCAATGGAGCTGGGAAGGGGTTGGAGCCCCAGGAGAGGCTGAGGGAGCTGGGAAGGGGCTCAGCCTGGAGAAAAGGAGGCTCAGGGGGGACCTTGTGGCTCTGCACAGCTCCTGACAGGAGGGGACAGCCGGGGGGTCAGGCTCTGCTCCAGGGAACAGGGACAGGAGGAGAGGGAACGGCCTCAGGCTCAGGGTGGACAGCAGCTGGAATTTCTTCACTGAAAGAATTTTCAGGCATTGGAACAAGCTGCCAAGAGTGGTGGGATCACCATCCCTGGAAGAGTTTAAAAGTCACGTAGATGTGGCACTTTGGGATGTGGTGATATTAACAATTGGACTCAGTGATCTTACAGGTCCTTTCCAACTTTAATCAATCTCTGATTCTAAGTCAAATCCAAGTAGATTAATACAGAGGAATTTTCTGGGAAAGCTGTTCTACCTGCCAGGCACACATCCCTGTGGCTTTCCTTCTCTATGTTCATTCCTAGGTGGATTGTCCCATTTTAACTGAGCTTTGGCCCAGTCCCACAGCACCTCCAGTCTCTGTGATGTTGCATTTCTGCTGCCTTGCTGATCCAGTGGCACTGGGTTCCATATCTCTCCTTCCACAATCCAAAACTCAAGGCAGGAAGGTGTTTCCCAGACATCAACTCCCTTGAAACAGTCAGCAAGTCAGACTTAATTAAGACTAAGAACAGCAAAAAGCAATAATAATTAAAACTTAGAGTCGCCTGCACTGATGAGGAAGTAGAAGGAGCTCATGCTGGCAGGAGCATGGTGTCTGAGGCTGGCATTCCCCACAGCCAGGTCCTTTCTCCACAAGGATGAAGCATGGGAGGTGGCAGTGGTGGTGTCTGCAAGCATTTAGCTGAGATGACCCACAAAAAATGTTCCTCCAGGCTGAACTGTTCCTCAGGCAGCTGCTGAACTGGGGAGGGGAAGGCAATAGTTGTTGCTTTGGTTATTTCAGTCTTGACCACCCCCAGGCCTCAGGACACAGCAGGAGGCACAGCTGGAGGCAGACCTGTGGGAATATTGCTTTTGGGAGCATTAATCTCTGCGGGGTTAAAGGTGCACTGGGACACAGCACTGGTAGAAGGAATGGTGGCGGAACAGCCAAGGAAAACCATCTGATCTGCCACGGTGTCTCCAGCTGAGAGCAGCACAGCCAGAGGGAGAGCATGCAGCAGTTCTTCCTCTGAATGCTCTTCCAAGCCCTGCAAAGCTACATGGCAGTGGCTCCTTGAGTTGTTGCCACCTCTGGTCTTTCCTGGTGCTGTTTCCTTGGCTCCTGCCATGGCTGTGGTTGTCACTACATCACAATTCTCAGATCCATGCTGCTGCCACCCAGGTCTATTTGCTCTTCTTCTCTTTTTCACAGAAGAATTTTACTCTCTCCACCCTTCAAACTCATTTCTTTGTTCCTCTTCCCCAGCTCCTTTGCTCCATGTGGGAGAATGACCATTGGTAATCCTGAAATACGGGGCAGACACCAAAACACAGAGCTCAGAAGAGCAGGTGGAGCCGGGCTCCACCACAGCTCAGATCCACTCTCTTCAGAGCTTTGCTTGGCCCCCAGCATTGTGTCTCATCTTCCTTGCCAGGGTAGCATTTCAGGCACTCACAGAAGCTGTCAGACAAAACACTCCAGATTAATCCCACTCTCTTCCTCTCTCTTTTTAGAAACTTTTAATTAGTCCCCAATTCAGCACCATTATTAGTATTTGTTATTAAGTATTAAAACTGCTCACCCCCAGCTCCTTCTCCCTCTGCTTCCCTCTTCCAGCCCTTTGTTTTAATTGTTATATTTTTTCATCAGTGATCAGCCAAGCTTCCCTAATGATCTAGGCTCATTTAAAGGGTTTATAACTCCGGCACAAAACTCCAATAAAAAAGCGGCAGCCTTGCTGGGAACCTCCTGGGGTTACTCAGCAGCCAGGAACACAAACTCATTTAACACTTGCCTGTTCCCCTCTTTTCTTAGTCACCATCACGCATCCTGTCAAAATATCTTCCTCTGCACGCACAGAAACCCTTCATTTTTCCTTTTCCACATCTTTCCCTCTCAATTCTTTTTCCCTATGGATTGAGACAGGAGAACTGGAAACATCCTTGATTAGGCATGTGGTGGAGTTAATAGCAAATAGACCAAACCCATTGTTCCTCCCTGCCGATGCTGCATCCCTGTCCCCTCTCAAGAGGAAAAACACAAAGAGTTGTAGCGAGGCTGAGGAAAGAAATGATCTGGCTGTATTTCTCCTGAAGTATATTTAGCAGTTGCAAGTTACCCCTCTAGAGAGCTTAAAAGCCTCTTTTACAAATCTGCAAGTTGGCACTGCCTTTCCCTCCTTGCTCTTCTCCCTTTGCAAGAGGTATAGATTTACACACCGTAGGCAAAGGGCTGCTGGCAAACTCTCAGAGTCTTGGCCCAGCTTCCCATCGAGTACAGATGTTGCTTCCAAACCTGTCTTTAGCTTTGTGCACAGCCAGCAGGAAAGTTGTGGGGATCCAGGCAGGAGGAGGAGTGCAAGCTGTTCTCCAGGAACAGAGAGCATGACCTAGACTCAGGTAGGCTCTAATGTGACCTACTGGGCTTCTTGCCCATGGCCTTGGGCACTGGGCCATTAGCCAGGGTGAGGGGCAAGCCAGGGGAACACAGTGACCTCCTTGTACCAAGCTTTTTGTGGGAAACCTCACAAAAGCTGTTCCATCTCTATTTACACACAAAACCCTTCTGAACTGAGAAAGAAAGAAGGGAGTGTGAGTGGTAAAAAGGAAATGACTACAGCAAGGCACAGGGTGGATTTATGTCACCTGCCTCAGCCATCTGCCATGTGGGTACTTCCATCTGAGCTGTCACTCTCCCTGGAAATGCCATAGGGAAAATAAACACTTTTAACACCATGGTTACCCTGCCCTTGTAAACTAGTGGAAAATTGACCTTTTTATACTGAAAAGACCCCAAGTCTTCCAAAAGCCATCCATTTCAAAATTGTGGAGCAAACAATGCCATTAAATGCTCTTGCTTTGAAGTCACTATTGCTCCCAGGACAACATCACACCTGCAATGACCATGGGAGCCACAATTGCATTGATACACTTTACAAGCAGCCTTTTGTTCTCTCTTGAAAGGAGCTCAGCTGAAAGGCCCAGCAATGTGTTCAGTCATCTTCAAAAAACCAGAATCATTTGGTGGGAATAAACAGTCAGAGCTCCTCAGTCAGTCATTTGAAAAGGACAGCTTCCCAAGGAACTTCAGCTTGTCTAGCTGCTGGGCTCCTCTGGGAGGTGATTCCTGGAGCTGGTTGAGCTGCTTTGACACATATTTATCATGGGGAGAGAGAGAAATAGCAAAAGAAACAAATCAATCCATTGAAATATTTCATGAAAGGTGGGGAAAAATCATAAGGTTTTGGGGTATTAATAGTATTGGGTTCTCAACTTGGGCTGAAAGGGCAGCACAGTAAGAAGGGTCTGTGGAGGATTCCTGCAATTAGAGACCTACTTGGAGATACAGAGCTGTCTTCTCCTTGTTTCCAGCTGCTACATTTAATTAAAAGAAAGCTAAACAATCCATTACATTAAATTACTTTCTGCACATTATTTTTCCACATAGACAACTGAAATGGTTGCCACAGGGATGCTATCTGACCGCAGGCTGGAAAGGAGATAAACCATTCTCAAAATTATTCTATCCTTGCTTGAAATATCACCCCAATGACCTGGTCAGGAGCCATTCCTGACTGTGTGAGGACCTACAAAACTGGTGGGGATTCACCAGGAATGTGAGAGGCATTAATGGACTGTAATCCCAGCCTCATCTTGCTTATTCCTGCCTCATGTCACAAGATGATAAGGATGCCAAACCACTCTAATGCTGTGGCAAACAAAAGGGCTTCTTTCATGTTTCCTCCCTGTACTCTCTGTCACCTTCACCCCGGAATCTGCAGTAAATAAAATCATACCATGAGTTAGTCTCTACCTCAGCTGCTCCTTCAGAGTTTCTAAGCAGTACCAAACAGTCCATATACCTTGTTTCACCTTCTAACTCAAATAGTCCTTCGATATTAGAAGTCAAGTATGCCAGGGATATCTTGAAATATCTCATGGAAATTGAATTTGTAGGAAAACTCCTTGTCCCTGTGGGCTTTTTGTTTTCCTTTCAATTCTTGCCAAAGGATAAAAAAATGTTTGGAAACTTCCTCAGTAACCCATTAGGCCACAGAGCAGATTTTGCCTCCTGGAGAGGAGCTCCCTAGGAGCATAGACCAAGTCCAGACCAAAGCAGGGATGGAGATGCTGGTTAAAGCCCTGCTCTGACAGCCCCTGTGTGCTGCACCAAGCCCCTGCCCCTGTCGGCATCCGAGGTATTGAGATTGTAGAAAGTCTCTGTCTGTCTGCCCCACTGCCAAAGCAGAAGCCATAATTGGTCTGTGCTGGTGTCAAGGTTGTTTATTCTGTTTATCTCTAACATGTTCTGCTGCCCTGCCGCAGCTCTGTCCTGCAGGGCAGCGTGTGGGGCTCTGCCCTCGGTGGGATGGTACAAACATTAAATACCACAAACTACCTGTGCTGGATTTACAATAACGTGCCAATATCTGTCACCTACGTTGGACAGTGTGTCCCCAGCCTGAACCAACAGAAAAATGCCAACACCACAGTGAAACATGGAGGGCATGAAGAAGGAGAAAAAGGACAAGACACACCCAATTTCCTCCATCCTGTCCCCTTTGGACCCCTTATCTAGAATCCTAAAATTTTACTTTTGCACCCATGCCACACTTAATTATTACTTCTATCAAACACTCAGAGCTTGTAATTCATCCTGTAGGATTGAAAACTCTTTTCCATGGACAGAGATCACAGCCAGTGTCTCTGGGGGCTCTGTCCAGGGGGGTTCCTGACCCCTGCCAGGGTCCCAGACCTGTCAGGGCAGCCAGAGGGAAGCCCTGGATTCCCACACTGTCTCACCATTCTGCCATTTTAAAACCATTCGGGTGTTAAAGCCGCTCCCAAAGCATGACCAGCTTGAGGCAAAACCAACCTGGACTGGCTTCAAGAGGAGAACAGAACAAAAACAACATCCTGGCTTGAGTCTGCTGCCGCTGTTACAGCTCTGCCCTTATTTTCTGCACTCCACGCCACTTTCCCTCTGAGATAATTGTTGCCAAGTGGCTATTTGGAACATGGTTCAGTGCAGATTGTTAAAGGAGAGATAGGCTTCTGACTCTGTCTTGCTGACTATTTTTGCTTTATTCCCCATCTCAGACAAAAACATTCCGCGGGTATCTGTTTACTGTTTGTGCATGATGCAGTATGGTAGGAAATGGTCTCTTCCTCCCTCATTCTACAGCATTTGCACCTCATCCTGGGGTGACCTCCCAGCAGCAGCACAGACCTTTATGACCACAGAGCTCCAGCCCTATCACTCTCTCCCTGAGCCAGCATTCCAGAAGGGGAATGCCATTGGCTTTGGGTTTGGGCACGCAGTGGGAAATGTGTTCACAGGCTGGACCCAGAGTGACAGCCTCACTCTGTCTCACATTTGCCCTATTTGAAGCCTATAAACTGCTGGACTGGGTTTACACTTACAAACATCCTCTTAACCCAAGCAGCACTAGCTGAGTCCTTCAGCAGTCTCATCCAGACAAGCACCTTACTCAAATTCCTTGGGAATTATCCCATCCTCTCTCTGAATCTGAGGTCTCGGGGCATACGAGACAGGAATCACAGATTCTGGTGATGGCCACAAGAGAGGAGGCTTATGAAAGAAGGAGAAAGGAAGCTTAGGCTATGTCCACTTTGTCATGGTCATAGTAAATAGCAAGACTTTGGTTTTAAAAGAAAAAAACATTGCCAATAATCACCCCCTGGGAAGCATCCTGCTTCCCTCCACTGTGTCTTCATACAAGGAAGTTATTCCTGCAGTTTTATGGAATGAAGAAAACCACATCTCACAATGGGGACTTCTTCACAAAAGACCCAGAAGCCAACCCAAAAGGTAGTAGGTCAAACACATTAACAACTAATTTGTATTATATGTATTATATTTTCTCTCTGTTTTTAATTTCCCCCTATCAGTATAAGCTATTCAGCCTCTTCTGAAATTTCAGTGGTCTTCTCACAGGCTGCATTTTTATCTGTAGGTCCTCATCAGCACTGGGCAAAAATGGAGTGAAAAGAATGATGTTTTTCAGCCCTGCAGTCAGGTCCTCAATGTTCCCAGCATCTGACTCTTGCCTGCAGAGGTGTGAATCAAATTCTGGTTTCCCATGTGGTCACACCAGATGGTTGGCTCAAAACCTATCATTTCTTTACAGCAAAACTCACTAGACACAGACAGTAACCATAAGATATGTTGGAAACTCGACTCTCGTATAATTTAGACTGCCGACACCCATGCAAAAGATCCTTCACCCTATTCCTTTTGTCAGCTCTTTAAGAATGGTTTCTCCACTGAAAATGTCCTAAAACATTTCGAGGCAGTGATAAAAATACATTCTTACAGTCAGCCTGCATCCCCTCATTCTGAAAGATCTTGTTGTTACTTCTGAAATTTGATGATCAAGTTACATTCAAGGATCATTTCAGATGCCCCAAAAGGCAGCACTGCACCCCAAGAATCCTTGGAAGCAGCTATGCAGAGCAGCAGGTCACATTCCAATATTATTTCATTGTCTGTGGCCCACTGCAGTGGGTTCTGGAATTTGCTGGGGGTGGACACCTCCAACCCCATCACACTGTGTCTTCTACAGAAGAATTGGGAATGCTGAGTAAGTCCCTGCCCTGGTGAAATTGTGAAGGGAGCACTGGAGAGAACATTATTCACTAAAGCAAATAAAACTCTCAGAAGGAGACTGTGTTGAAAACAATCATATGCTTGGGAAATCTGGCTCTGTGTGTTTAGTGACCACAAGAGGTCAGAGCATCAGTTTTCCATTGCATCTTAAAAGCAACATCTCCAAGAGCCTGGAGCTAGGATACTATTTTAGCTGAGACTGTTCAGTTCAGAAATTTCATCTTTAAACATTCCTTAACAGGGGTTACCACAGGAGCAACAGCCCTTCTTTTCTTTGCACTTGAGTCTATCAGGATAATAGTCGGGTTTGTCTTTCTTTATATTCCAGGTCTTGCTCCACAGTTTGAGGGTTTACAGAAATATTATATTTTACACTAAAAGCCCCAGTCAACACCTCCATTTCCCTGGCACAACCAGACTTCCTTCATTAGGAATAAATCATGCTGGTGACAAAGATGTCCCAGGTGTGACCTCAGGTGTGTAGAGTTTCCTCCTGCAGAAGCTTTTAAGCATCAAAAGCTTTCTTTTTCTCCCTTCCAAATCCACTTCTCCACCATGAATAAAGGT